GGCATGTATTAATGATTTATTCTATTCATGAAAAATGATTTTTAAAATGATGTCTTTCAAAAGCTAAAATATCCTGCGGTTTTGACAATTAATTAAGAAACGAAATTGATCAGGTATATAAGCGATCTTCCAGAAAAGATGTTAATCAAAAAACTCAGTCTCATTAATCAAAAATTGATATTTCTATGAAAAATACACGTATAAGCACTTAAGAAAGTTATGCGGCTTTTATCTAAATTTTGATTCGATTATCGGATTATCATTCTTTATCACTTAACGAAATTTTGTTTTCTAAATATAATTAGAATATTAAATATTATTTTGAATAAATATTTATTTAATCAATTTTTAATATTATTTAGACAGATTTTTTGGGTACGCAAATATAATTACGATTAGTAAAAAACACAATTAAGATTGAATAATAAATCATTAGTCAAAATTTTGCTTTATTGCTAAGGAAAAAAATCTGATTATAAATTATAAAGCTAGTGAAAAAAATCGCTAAATTGAGACTAAAATTAAATATCACTAAAAGGTGGCGGGAAGGTCACTGAGAGACGACAGAAAGGTCACTGAAAGGCGCCGGAAAGGTCACTGAATGACGACAGAAAGGTCACTGAAAGTCGACGGAAAGATCACTGAAAGACAACAGAAAAGCTAAAGGAAATATGTTCGCTGAATGGAGACAGAAAGGTATCTAAATTGTGACTGAAAGGCAATTGAAAGGTCACTGAATTTTTTGTGCCATTCAGTGGTTGAATGGCCACTGAAAAGTCACTGAAAGGCGTCTTTCAGTTTTAACTGAAGTTCTTGTTTCTTCCTGTGTTTGATCCACAACAAACTTTAAAAAAGTAATATCCACTTCCCTCGGATCCACCACTTGTTAGTTTAGATCATGATCACACTTGACATAAAAGCTGAATGTTTGAAATGAAACTTAAGGGGAGACAGGGAACATGTTACATGACTAAAAGGACATATTACGTCATAATCGGTGGTGATATACATGTTAAACGTTGTTAAAATCAACAATTCTTGTGTAATTTCATTCTAATTTTTTAAATTGATTTTTTTAACATTTAAATTTAGAAATTATTATTAATAAAGTTTGTAAAGATGTTGCCATCATTTAGATTTTGTGAAGTTGCCCAATACACACAGTTGTTTCTCTTTACCCTGCAGTCTGACGTTCGTGACGTCATAGACGTTTCTCTTTACCCTGCAGTCTGACGTTCGTGACGTCATAGACACAGTGTTTGAATTCCTAGTGCAGCGAGATCAAGTACATACACCCGTCATGATCAGTTTTATTTCATAATAAACAGGTCAGAGTCAATGTATCATGAAAAATTTCTGAAGCAGATTTTTTAAATTAATTAAATTAATATTTTTTCGTGTTTACTAGCAGAACTTCTCTCTCTTTAGATAATTTTGAATGTTTATGTTTTCTTGTGACGTCAAAAATGATTTCCCGCACTCGGAAAATACAAACGTGAAGCGTTTTTATCATGCTTACATCTAATTCAACGATGTCCTGTGCGATATTGAAGTAAGCTTCACCTTGTGATATTTATGCAGTAAATAATTACGATGGAGAACTGACATTAAATCGTAAATTTAGAAATATTTATTGATAGGATTTTTCCCAAATGAGGTTTTTGTCGTTGAAACTGCCTTGAAAAATGCAGAAATTATCCCACCCAAATACTACATAAAATTAAAACTATTGCGTTCAGATAATTTAAACACTATGAATATTCTGAAATATTTGAGTATATAGTGTTATCTATCATATTTATTGTTTGTGCGTAAAAATTCGCATTATGGACTCCGTTATGGGCCCGTAAACATGAAGTATCTAAACTCCATAAAAAACTCTAAACAAGGCGGTATTTGTGGGGCGATATCTTTTAAATAAGTCAAGAAATCCCATGACAGGACCGTATTAAAATGTTAAGTACATATTAAATTAGTAATATAAAAGATACAAAAAAATTCATTGACAGGAATTTTGTCAGCTTAAGGTCCTGTTCCTCCTTAAATTGACAACTTAGAAAACTCCCTTTAAATATGACCAATCATGGCTTTGCTGTTCTCAAGAAGATTTTTAAAGATTTTTTCCTTTATATTCCTATGTAAAAATTTGATCATCCATTGTGCCCCCGCCCTACCCCCGATGGTAATGATTTCAGCAAACTTGAATCTACACTACCTGAGGATGTTCCTATATAAATATGACCAATCATGGCTTTAATTTTCTCAAGATGAAGATTTAAAAAAAATCCTATCTATAGTTCTATGTAAAACTCTGATTGTCCATTGTGATCCTGCCCAACCCCAGGGGTCATGATTTAAGCAAACTTGAATCTTCACTACCTGAGGATGTTTCCATATAAATATGATCAATTATGGCTTTGCTGTTATGAAGAAGATTTTAAAGACTGTTCCTATATTTTCCTATATAAAACTTTTATCGTCCTTTGTGGCCCGCCCTACCCATGGGGGTAATGAACAAACTTGAATATACACTACCTAAAGATACCACCATATAAATATGACCAATTAGGGCTTCGCTGTTCTCAAGAAGAAAATTTTTAAAGTATATATATATATATATATATATATATATATATATATATATATATATATATATATATATATATATATATATATATATATGATTTAATGATTATTTTAAAAGAAAAACAAAAAGTTATATCAATTCGTTCTTATTTACATTTATTTCATAATAACATTTTAGCATAATTGATCAAAATCATTAAGATTGATATTGCAGCACTAATTCCATACTCAGTAGCATAAGTAAAGACAATACCAGTAGCAATAGCAGATGGATATTTGATAAACATTTTGAAAATCTTTTCTCTCAAAATATCTTTTTTTTCTTCGTCACTAAACGCCCCCATTATCTTTGAGCCTAGTCCAAGATAATAATACAGTTGTTCAGTATACCAACTCAGCGGGGTCTCGAAATAAGAAGGGTTGTTTTCTAGCTTCATTGTTTCAATCATATATAAAAGTTTGAAGACGTCTTCTGTCTCATCCTCAGGATTATCAGAATAATCTAATGTAAAAACTCGATACTGAATAGCTTTAATAAGTTGTTTAAGGGGATGATTTTCAGGAATGCCATTTACAAACCCTTTAAAGCCACCAGTTCTCGCTTCCAATTTCCTTTTATCATTAAAAACTAAAACCATGTATTTTTCAAAATTCTCTCCAAAAACGTATTTGTATGTGTCTAGTATTTTCTGATCTTCATTTGTAAATCTGCTGGGATGCATAAGCATTACAAAAGCATGTGGCCCTGGAGATACCAATATGTATGACTTCGTTATTTCTGTTATAACTTCTCTTTCATTTAAGTTGGTATCATCTAATCCTGGTGAATCTACCACGACAAGTTTTCGGCCAAATCGCCAGGTTGTGTTATATGATGTGCTACGGGTAACGGACAACAAGCTGTTTTCGGCTTTGAAAGCGATTTCACCTAATATCGAATTTCCCGTTGTACTTTTACCGGTTCCTGTTTTCCCGATGAGGATTATGCGAATTTCCTTCTCCAATACTGTTCCTGGAATTTGTAAGGAAAGCTTATATATTTGTGCTGTAATAAGATTATAATTTCTCGAATAAGTACAGTTATGAAATTTATCCTATCATTGCCAAAACTCATCTGAATGTCTCTAACTATGATGGAGAAAAATGATTCATTTAATCAATACAAAAAAGTATTTTCATAGTGTTGAGTTGTGTGTTTTCAAGTTAGAAATAATTTTCGATGGAATTAAAAAAAATATTTTTAGAAGGATCATGTCAAGATATAATCATAAGCTGGCATTCCTAAGTAGTGCTGAACAAAAGCTTTTTGAATCCTGAGATTCGGAATATGGCGAGATAAAAGAAAATACAAGGAGTTCATATAATACCTAGTAGATGTTCATAAGTATTTATTGAAAGTAGAAAAAAAATATGTAATCAAAAGAAGGGCACTACAAAACGGATATTTCCATCGTTAAGAACATATCTATGAATTAATAATGCATTTTAAAAAAATACGTAAGTTTCATTTCGCACATAATATATTATCAACACACATACACCCGCACGTTTGCCTAACCTAAGTAGATCCAACTTCAAAGGACACATACCTCTTTTAAATTACATCATAGTTCTGATTATATATTTTTAAAACCAAAATAAAGTTACAGTACTCGTGTAATTTTGACAGCTTGTTTGACTTTTTCAGTATCAAACATTCTTGTAAATATTAACAAATAACATAAAAGATTGATTTACTTTTATGTTTCCCCAAACTGAGCGGCCAACAAATCGTTGATGTTATAGGCAATCTCTTAGTACATTAAGATTATACATGGTAGAAAATTGACAATATTATTACATAAAAACGGGTCAAGATATGAACATGATGGATGTAACACTGGATGAAAAATACAGTTTCCGCATGGCTGAAACTCTACTGAAACTCTGCGGAAACTTAAGGTTACTAATAGTTTCTGCAAAGTTTCAGTGCGGAAACTTCAAGTTTCATCAAGTTTCCGCAGTGCGGAAACCAAAGGTGTCCACGAATCCAAATAGTTTCCGCAACTGAAACTTGCTGAAACTTGAGGTATACGCAAGGTTTCAGTATGCGTATACTGTTGAAATACATATGGTTTACCAATGGTTTCCGCAACAGAAACTTGCTGAAACTTGAGGTATACGCAAGGTTTCAGTATGCGTATACAGTTAAAATACATATGGTTTACCAATGGTTTCCGCAACAGAAACTTGCTGAAACTTGAGGTATACGCAAGGTTTCAGTATGCGTTTACAATATTGATATACATAGGGTATACTATAGGTTTCCGCAACGGAAACTGTAGTATTAACTACACAATTTTAGCCCTGGTTTTCAACCAAAAGTCATTTTCCCCCTGAATTCTCATATTGGAAAAAACAACAACACACTAACACTAGTTATCAAAGAATATTTAATGTTATTATCAACATTTACATACATCGGTTGAACATTTTTCTCTTGCATCATAAACATTTTTACAGCTAAGTCCGAGCCCTCAAGTCACGACAGGAGGACAGAGAAAATGTCTGCATTTAATGATGTCTCATACATCAGAGATATAATCTTGCGAGAGGAACTTAGAACTGCATTACTGCAATCAATCAACTAAACCTGAATTCGGTTTATGCAAGTCTAGTATTATTAAGGAAATGTAAAATTACTTGGTATAATAAATGCACAAGTTCACATTATAAGTAACCAATAAGCACTAAGGTGGATTCCTTTGTTAAAAATTCAGTTTGTAGTCCATCATCAACCAACAGAAAAGTCCTTGAGTGGTTCTCGTTCTTTGATGACCCACTTACACTTATCATGCTTATGCTAGTGGTGGCTGCATGTTTTCGGAACTGTGCAACACATCACTGTAGTCTGCATGTATGACCTGTTCCAGTTTCAGTTGACTTTAAAAATATCAATGCTTGAGTATAGAGAGACTTGTTTTCATCATTGGAGAAATCATATCATGTTCAAGTTGGATTGATCTGCTCATCAGTTACTTCAACCTATTGAAAATATATATAAATATATATAGTTTAACAAAATCCCAATCTAAATAAAACAACATGTTAGATCCTCTCGCATACTTGCTTCACAGTATCTAACAATATCCCATAGAAGGTCACGTCAGATGTCAAATACGGAACAACTCTAGACTTATTCGTTCCAATTTATGAAATACAATAATTATGCAGCTGACTATTTGATTGGTTAATAGAATTTGACCTCTGACGTGACGTCTACAGGATGTTGTTAGATTTAGGCAGTACCTAACATTTAATATTAATTGGATGGACAAAGTCCCTAATGCTATTCTAGTACAAGCTTTTGTTTGATTAATTTCACATTTTAAGCATTTTTTTTTAATCAGAATGATTTAAAATGAAATCTAAAAATTTATCAAGTGTAAAATATCATTAGTTTATTAAAGATGCCTCTTTTAAACGCTTGACTAGGGATAATGAAATAAACAAACTTGAATTTATTTAAACATGTTAAATGTACCTGAACATGTATGTATAGATTTGTTCCTGATTTTCAGAATAAATTAAGGAATTTTCTTTCATTCTACTGGTTCATCAAAATATTTTTTTTATTTGAATAACAACTAGAGGCCCATAGACCTAATAGGTATCATGTAACAACTTTCACTCAATTGAATTTGGTTCGTGTTTTAAACAAAAAGCCATGAAATTCCAAATTTTGAAAGACGCACCATTGTTTATCATAATTATACACTTAACATGCTTACTCTGGTTACTCAGTAACCAAAGGTAGATCAGAGTAATAAAGATAAAATGCTATTCCATTTTAAAACCACCAGTTGATATAGTGTTAAATCTAAAGCAGACTAGCATGGCGCGGCGCCATGCCCCTTTTTCTCGGCGCCATGCCCTTTTTTCCAGCACCATGCCCTTATTTCCTAACCCAAAATTATTAATATGCCCAGTTTAGGCAATATTCCTTTGCTGTTCTGTTTATTCAGTGCAAGCTCATTGCTGATAATCCCTTTGTTTACACAACGACAGGAAATCACTTCACGCTTGAACGCACCACACAGCCACCTGGCTAATTAACATGCCTCAGGCTGTCAGGGTAGAGGATTTAACTTGAGAAACTGTCATTTGATTGCATTGATTATGCAAGAATAAGCCCAAGACCAAGGATAAATTAACTTGTAAATTATTTACTAATTAAAATCAGGATCGTTTTTTAAACAGAAAGTAGAATAATACACATAGTTGAACTTGAAGAAAAAACGGATATTTTATCTGAATAAAATACTTACAGTGCACCAAAAAAACTGAATGTAATGTTATAAAAAGGCTTAAAAACAACAGACTAAGTTAGTTTCTTTGATTGAACAGATAGATTTGAATAAGCTGAGGGTCAATGTTTCTAATTGAAGCCAGAGTTTTTTTTAACAAAATATATTGGGAGTAAGACCAGTTTTCACTTTATCCTGTTGGTAGACTATTTTCCAAGTAAATAGAATGGTCTCTACATATATTTTTCAAAATGTCCCTCCCCCTCTTCCCTGAAAAAAGTATTTTTAAATTGACTGTACTAGTACACAAATAACACAGTCCAAGTAGGTAAAAAAAAAAAAAACCTCCAAACTTTAATAATTTTTGAAGATGTTTCAGCTAGATTAATACCATTACTTTCTCAAGTGTAACCTTACTACTTTTTTGATTAAAGAAATTGGATGTAAATGCCTTTTTATATCCTTTTTTGTTTCAATAATTGTCATGTCAGCCCAGGTGTGCTAATTGTGTTGATATTTTTAAAAAATGAATGGAATACAGATATATGAATTTATCTTTAAAATACTTGTTTAAATAAAGATTTCAGTATGAAAGGATATTAAAAGTAATTAAACATGTTAAAGTATGTAAAAATTAATGATTAATATAATCTTTATAAAGACATTTTAATACATTTGTTTTAAAAGTGCCCTCGTGAGATCCCGTTGCGACACAAAGTGCCCTTTTGATTCCTTGATTACCATGCCCTTTTTAGGGTCTAGATTTAACACTACAAAAAAACTGTTGTGTACCCCACCCCACAGGAACCACTAACCCTGGGGCCACACATTTCAAAATTTTCTAAATGTTATCTTAAGTTTTATTTCATCATAAATGGTTGATTAATTCCAAAGAGCTATATGGACCAACCCTAGTACTAAAACCCCTGACCTTGGGGCCATGAATTTCATAATTATGGTAGATGACTCAGTGCTCATTTCAATCATGCCAACAGTTTGACTGCTTGATGTCCAGGAGTAAAAAAGAAGGGGGGGTATCATAAAATTTACAAATTTTGTTCCCCTTCACCCGTAGATGCTTTGTACCAAAATTGGTTGAAATTGGTTGAGCGGTTGCAAGGAAGAAGCTGAAAATGTTCAAATGTCAACACACGACAGACAAAAACAGATAGTAATAGGTCACCTGAGTTTACTAAGGTGACCTAAAAATAGGCCTGCTTATAAATAAATCAGAGAATTTAAGTAGTTAGCCCGCAAAATGAGACTTTCTAAGAAAATGTTAACATCTGTTAATTTGATGGAAATGCCGAACATATAAAGATATTATATAAAGCTTAAAAAGTAGAGGAAAGCAGCTTACACCCCCCCCCCTCCCTCACAACACACACTGACAACCACTGACTATGATAAATAGAGAGCTTTAAATTATACAGTGAGATTAAGAAAACAATAGAAAATAAAAACATAAACTTTGTGCTTTAGTCCTTAATTTCCTAAAATAGAGTTACATAAGTTCTTACTACTAAAACATACTTTTTAACAGAAGTATTCTTCATCCTCTCTTAGTTTTCAGATGATTTGTTCCATGGATATCTGAAATTAAAATAGATCCAGTTAGTACAGTACCGTACAGTAATAACTTTTTTGTTTTTAGCATGAGCTCAGAAAAGTCCCAAAAACTACTTGCATGCCCATTTCCTTGCACCTGACATGCAGTGAAAATTCTAATGGACACACGACAAAGAAAAAAATGATTGGAAATTGTATCATTTTAAAATCGACACAGTCACACTCTGGTCTAATTCTAAGTGGCAGTCCTATCAGGCTATCACAACCTCAATTTACAAGATTTTGAAATTATATCTGAGAGTGAGAAAAATTAAATAAGTTATAATTTTCCATAAAAGCAAGACTACATCTAAATTATGTTTGTTTAAGATATGTAGGCCTTCTCCGATTCAAAATTATAATTCATTTGATAATTAATTTTATTTAATATTCTATTTTACATCAAGGGAAGATCATTTGTATAATAACACAGAACTAGGACTCTTCAGTGGCCATTGTTGAAAACTGATTTAATTAGTGATAGAAATATGGCAAATGGTAAACAGCTACAAACCTTACAGAGAGATTACAAAAATCTTATTTGTGTATCAGTCATTTTATCAAGTCAATAAAATTTAGAGATCATAAAAGTATTATGTCAAATTTTCATAATGGGTCACATTGCCAGTGGTTAGAGCGACACGCCTAGAGTTGGGGAGTAAGAGCTGATTCCTACATCAATGGTCTGAATCCAATGTAGTACATAGAGACTGGTCCCTCGGATGAGACCTGTGTTGGTGACGTGTCCACATTAATAAAAAGTTCTCTAAAGGGTAACAAATAAATACAAGTATATGACTGTATAATGAATCAATACATGTAACTTAAGAAATTGAAAATGGCAAATCCCATTTCATCAAGCTCCAGTATATCATATTAATACATACTTCAGGTAAATTCTGTTCTGTTCATATCAAGAGAATCATTTTTATGATTGTGATTTCTGATGTATTTAGAAACTGCACCACATTTAATACACAAGGTACAATAAAAACATGGTATTTCTAATGAACAATTACACCATGCACACTACCGGTAAATCAAGTTTTAGGTTGCTAAAATAGTGTTAATTGTTTCATATAGATCAAAACATGCACATGTGTCAGCATGATGTTTATGTATCTTTGTGTATAACTATTTTGTTCACGTACGACAATGTTTCAAACTTATAATGTATGGTATGAAACTTAATAAAATACTTCAACTTGAATAATGTCAGGCATTCTGAAAATTATCAAGTCACTTTCATATCACAAAATCTGCAAGTTCTCAGGAATTTTACTTTCATGACTATACAACATGTACAAATTGGCATTTCACAGTGATACAATACTACACAATGGCATTCTCCCAACATGATGCCCTCTAACATGTCTAATATTTACGATTCTAGACTGCATGTATGTTAAAAATATATTCAACCCCTTCCTCGGCTGTGCAGCATAGTCTTCCATGATCAATAATAAAAACAATTCAGCAAAAAATAAATGTAGGATTCAAGAAACTACTCCTGCGAATAACAATGAACACATCCAGCAGTTATAATGAACAACAAACCTCACCTTTTCTGAAAGAACATAAGCGTGGGGACTCGATTTTCCGAAAAAGTAAACACCGGATACAAGTTCATAACGATATTATCCTCTAAAACCAACCTACATTTAATATTCCGGAATACTACAACACGTATTTTTTTTAACATGATCGGGACGATGCAGAAAAACACATTCTAATAATCATACGAAAACATGCAAGATAAATACAATGGTACAAAATGCATGCGGCCGTTTTAACAGCAATTAATTATACGTATTACAATCTAAGCTGAGAATGATTTACAAGGCGCTTTTTCAAAATAATTATAACTGTACAATGGTCGATTTGAATTTTTGGAACGCGCCGTTTTGACCCAACTTTATTCTTACGATTGCAGACGATAAAAACAAAAATAAAGGTGCTCTGAACTGTAAGAAATAACTACCTGTATCTAATCTGTCGTTTGAGGTGCCTTTCTTCTGTGTAGAGTCAAAAGACCTCATCTCTGTTGTTTTTCTTGAGCAAGTTCTTGGTGTTTTCTTCGCCATTTTGTCCCTCTTTCTTCTACTAAAAATCTAACCAATGAGAGAGAAGCATTCTATCTCGATACGCCACCTAGTGATTGAATGTCAGTCTCTACGGAAATTTCCCCTTAGTTTTTGCATTTCTCTTTTGGCAATATTTTTTTTTTTACGTTTTATATTGCAGACGTCCTTGCATTTATGACAACTGAATGAACCTGTCAGTTTTAAATGCTTAGATAAAATTGAACCGTATTTTAAGTCCCTTATTATCATGGTTATCATGATTATGGTAATTGTTGAAACGGACTGTCCAGATTTTTACAAATAGATTGAAAATCATATACAAATGCACTTAGATTATTGTGTAAAAAAAGTATACAAGTCAACAAAGTTATGCTGATGGCATATTATCCACATACAAGAGCGATTTTACACCCCCCCCCCCCCCTTTCTAGTAAGCGATACGAATTAGCTGGTTAAAATTTTATTAAAAGTCTGCAAATTTATGTTTATATGTTTTTTAAAATCTTAATCTACGGGATACATTTTTATTTGTGTCCTAAAATAGAATAGATAAATTAACAAAGTGCATGTAAGTTTATAATCATTGTTATACAGTGAATTATATAATGATTAATTTGGACCTTCGTAACTTAAATAAAACGAAGAAAAAAATTACAAACTATATTAGAATGTGTTGTATAAGTCTCTGTCTCTGTCTCTCTCTGGTATTGCTTTTTATACCTTTGCGAAACTCAAAAGCAAAATTGGAGTTATAAGAATTATTAATCAATTGTTAAAAATTTCCAACTCTGAAAATATCTACATGTGCAATTTTAAAATAGTAAATACCGCTACTTCTCAGCATTAGACGATGAACAAAAAATTATTGGTTATTACTCAATACAGAAGATACGGAAACTTTTAATTTTGCGGACAAATTTATAAATGATATCATGTAATAGTGGCCATAGTCCTTTACACATATCATGTATATTGTTGTTTACCAAATGTATTTATCTTTTTTTTTCTTTTCCTTATTATTGTAATAACCTCACACTTTTTTGTTTTGGACTCTAAATTAGAAATTAAACGTTGTTTTATTGTGTACTTAGAAATAACATAGAGAAAAAAGTTATGAAATAAAATTCATAGACTTTGTTTTCATAAGGTTGCGTGTCATCGATCTCTAAATATTTTCAATATTTGAAGTTAATACAATGGTGGCAAACAAGGAATACCATTAATTGTCGTTTTTTTTTGATTGCCAATTTCTTTGTGGAGAAATTGTAAAATAATATTGAAATTTTTTAAATAGTCTATTGAACTAGCAAATATTCTCCTTACCTGTAGATTAGTTCTATTATTTATTAGATTGATCTATAGATAAATATCTGAGAGGTTTTTCTTTTTTTTTCTTTTAATCACCAACACATAATAAACTTAATAGCTTATATGAAACATTTTATATAAAATATTTTATAAAACAATCTTATATGTTTGATTTAGGTGAAGTTTTATATATATAGTGTGTGGGATTTTTTTTTTTTTTTTTAATTTTTAAAATTTGAATGTGCAGACACCTTGGGGTCATTACTGGTGACTATACTGTGTATATCATGTACTGCATGTATATATTACGCCTGGTCACAGCCCATTGTTCCTCTAAGGTAGAAAAACCTCTCAATCCACATAGAATATACAAAAAATACACCAACACGGTAGCAGGTGTCTTCGCGACACGTGTCTCCCCACCTGTGGCACGTGAGGACAGGTGCCCGCGAGTGGGGTTCAAAGAAAAGGATTGAAAATTTGATCAACTTACATACTACTTTTATTTTAAAAAAGTGTTTTCTAAATCACAAATTTAGCACATTATACATCTCAATACGAATATAATTGAACATATTACTAAAAAGTATAGGTACCGCGTTTTCAGTAATATCGCATTAATTAACATCACGAAAGCAAGATATTTGAAAAAATAAATAAATAAATAAATAAATAAGCCTACACATAATTTGCAATCTAATTAAAATGATATCTTCCATTCGCTCCCATGGTACTGTTTCACAAAAATAGACTTTTTACATTAATAAGTCTTCCTCGTGCGAATAAGCATTTGGGTAACAAATGAGACGATTTAATTTTAATTAGATTGACATAATATGCTGCAGATCTTAAGAACCGTGGCATCAAATGTTCAGGACATGTTTTCTTGCAATATTTACCCGCGGCTTTCGAATAAGATTAACGCCTGTTAAACGAAAAAAATGTATTCATGAGAACGGAGATAAAAATACATATATGTACGAGATATTAAATCAATGTATTAAATTATAAAAACAACTACAATGCAGTAACTATTGCACTATATATCTATGTTGAACACTGAATAGTAAAAAAGGCTTCCTAGTCAGTATGTGTTGTTAACAAATTGAATTATTGAAATGATAATTTTCCATTCAGGAATATAGATACATGTAAAAGGAATATAAATGCAAAACTTGCTATCTCAGATAATGTAAACGTTCGCTCGTAATTATCTGTATTTCATGCACCATGAAGACACACTAATTTTCTTTTTTAAACAAATTAACATTAAATGTAATTGTAGACAGAGGAACCTCCATATATAACCCTTGATTTGTTCTCATACGGAAGTAATATTTTGTGAAAATAATGTATGTTGTGAAAAGAATTAATTCCCGAGGGGGAGTCTCGAGTTGGGTAATGTAGAAAATCCTGGTGAGAGGAATCGATTTTGTTTAGAAATGATATTTTTTTAATTCCAGCACAATATGAAATAAATTAATATGAAGCAAGGATCTTGTATAAAGTGCTTATCATTGATATCAATGTCGGTATGTGTCAGTTTACACAGAGCACATCTCAAAATCTGAATATGAACTAGTAGATATATTTAAAAATAAAACCATTTTTTAAAATGTATAAGTAAATAAAAATATGATATGGGTTGATTTTTCTACTCTTTTGAAAAAAATATAATAAAAAACAGTTTCAGTTCGGTTTCAGCATGCGAAAACCATACAGAATCAAAATCAATAGTAAAGATAATATGAGTTGATTTTCCTAACCTTTTGAAAAAAAAAATAATAGAAAAAAATTCAGTTCGGTTTCAGCATGCGGAAACCATATGGAATCGAAATCAATAGTAAAAAAAATCATTTGAATTGATTTTTTTACCCATTTGAAAAAAAAGAATAGAAAAAGTTTCAGTTCGGTTTCAGCATGCGGAAACCATATGGAATCGAAATCAATAGTTTCCGGAAACTGAAACCTACTGAAACTAAAAAGTATCGTTAAATTGACATTTCATTAAATTTTACATTGGTTTCCGTTTTGCGGAAACTATTTGGAAACAAACCTAATAGTTTCAGCATACGGAAACCCTACAGAAACTTGCTGAAACTATTATATAGTTTCCGCATTGCGGAAACCATACAGGAAACTTCAACGCCAAGTTTCAGCAAGGTTTCCATATAGTTTCAGTTTTGCGGAAACTGGACTTTTCACCCAGTGTAACACAATGACCGTATAAATTATAAGTTTAATTCATATATTAATTTGTACAGTACATTTGTCTATGTTTAAATGTTGTGTTATGAATTATAATTGATACTATCAGTGTGTAGTGCGACGGACAATAATATCTTAATTACGAACTTGTTCACAAACTCTGGGAGATAGAATACAATAACAGAACGTCTTCATTTGACGGACAATTAGTTTTTACGATGTGTTGTTCTCGAGCATTGACACTTCCAATCACACTTTGTGCAGAGCTGCAGCCATCTAATTAACTGAAGAATGTGCAAGATGCATAATGTTAATGTAAACAGAGGACATTGCCGTATCCTATAAGGAGATAGGAGACAGCGCTTCAGTGAGGGGCGGACAATGTTAATATTAATGAAGTGACACTCTTAACTTACTAATTGCTATTACCAAATATGTGAAACCTATGATGCAGCTTCATGTACAAAAGATGCGCGCACTGAGTATCAATAGCTTTTACCATCTTAGCTCCGAGACGGACCATCAGAGCTTTTACGAACTTAGCTCTGAGACCTATGTGATGCAATGACTATGTGAGCTTTCACCATCTTGGCTCCGAGATCTTTATGTTTTGATGTACCATTGTTTGTTTGATACCTTTGCTGTGACTTTTTAATAAAACTATAAACTTACAAAAGTCTTCTTAATCCAAACACATTGGCTAATTGTGTTATATGGAGTATTTTGTGAAATAGAGAGCTCAATGTTTTTACATGGTTGATGACGGAGGTTTGTTGTAGGTATGTCTTATTTCACTGATTTCGCAGATGCGTGACATCATATTTTGTTTCTCTCGTACTTGAGGAATTTAAACATGAAGCATTTTTACCTCCTGCTTATGTATAGTTTTACTATAGCCTGTGCAATATTGTGTTCAGCTTCACTCTTTCATAATATTTTTTTAATAATTAAAATTATGAACTTGCATTTCAACGTATAAACTTTCTAAT